AAACGTGGAAATCTCATAGACTTCATGTATTCGTTGATTAGTCAAAACCTTACGAAGACTCCCACTTTGAACTTTGTCAATTTGGGTGATAAACAACCGCCTTTTATTTCATATCCAGCTGTTAACACATGAGGAAGAAGCTTAGAGGTGGAGAGATTTAATGTTTCATATGGAATGAGGAATGCATGAAAATGAAAGGAAGATAAAATCGGGACTCTTTTAAAGGCTTTAAGAACCCTTTCAAACTTAAATCGTTTGCACTTGTTCGGAATAATTATGGCACATGTATGGCGCATATTTGGGAACCCTATCCTCCTATCTAAAAGACTTACCCATTTCAAGTATGAGTTTAATCGCTGATGCAATATTTTTTACAGCCGAGGTCATTGAATACCATTGGTTCAGTACTTAGTACCCTTTTAACTTCACACCTCCACGGTCATTTTTGTAAGCCTTTAAGTTTATAATAAATATATATGCTCAGAGTTCTGAATCCTCTAAGGCATTCGCTACCAATGATTCTGGTTTTGAACAAGATAAAAAAATTCAAAAAACTACCTTTTTCATCCGCTCTCGTATTTAGTAAGCAACCACGTTTAGAAAACAAAACTACACACAATTCCAACAGCTGTAAGATATGAAAAACAATCTAATTTTGTTTTGCAATATCTTCAGGATGAGCAATCATTGAATACAAAATCCGAAACAAAAAATGAAGAAGCGTTGCAAAGAAGTGCAGATAAACACTCATTTCTAATCCGACATTGTTCGTGGCGACTCAGCGTGATTCCACCATTAGTCGGCCTTAAACTCAAAGGACTAGATTTTCCTCCCGCACCAGGGGTGCACTTCTGCCCGCTATGTTTGTTTGTACTTCTTCTGATTGTGAGTCTTTATATGGGATAATAATAATGTGGTGCAACGTTTCCACGTAAATGCTTACATTATTAGGGAGGAGTTCATAAAAAGTCACCTGCTGATTTTGTTTGGCAAAGCGAAAAAATGTGTAGTGGAAAATTACCGAGGGCGAATGGAAAGATAACAAACAGAATGCCGAAGTAACATACACATAAGGAGTACAAATTCCAAACAATTATTTTCGTTGGGAACAATTGTGTATTAATTGTGTATCCAACCGTAAAGTTTTCGAAGTGTGCACTGTCCTCATATATCCATGAAATTGGAAATATTTTTGGAATAAGAACAGGGCATTATTTTATTTATCCATTTCGAAAAGAAGAAAGTAAAAAGGGGTTTAGTTCAGTAAGGCTGTCATTCACCATGAGGACAGGAAACTATTGCAATTTATTTTTAATTGAATTATTAGAATTCAAGCTAAAAACCTTCAAAATATCTTACATCTGGCGGATCAGTCACATCGGGCAATATTCAAACCAATATCGAACCTATCTCGTAGAGAGAAATTGAACTATAATCACTCTACAGTTGGCCGTTATGACTCGATTTCAAAAAAAAAAAAAAAAAAAAAAAAAAAATATCATTGAGAAATATTTAGATAGTATTTTTGATTTTGCAGTCTTTATTCAGGCCACAATTATAGTCTGATCGACACGGAATTTTCCATTGGGTTAGAGTTTAAAACAGTTTTTTGTATGGTCATGGGATAATATTTAAGGGTTGACATACACAATACACAATATTTAAAGGTTGACATATACAAAAATTTCTATTTAAACTCAAAAATTTTAATGCTGACAGCGATTCACATCAAAATCAAAAATACACCTGAAAATAGCTGTTTTGACCATTGCATTAATGCGAATTTCGTTAGCAATGCAAAGAAAATTTGCTTTGTGGATCTGATAAAAAGCTAAAAAAAGCCGTTTTGTATGTGACATTATTTCAAAAATGAAATTTCACATAAATGTGAAATACGTGAAACATATTTAAGAGAAGAGTTTTAAATTTGAAAAGTTTTAAATTTGAAGAGTTTTAAATTTGAAGTTTTCAATATTTCCGCTGATATGATACATTATAGCAATGTTTTTCATAATGTCAGGGTTGCAATAGTCGAGATGATAAATATTAATACAACCAGTAGGGAAAAGTCGAAAGCCGGGCGGGGCCGACTATATGATATCCTACGCCACTATGCGTATTTAGTAGAGCTCCCGTAAAAAGGGGTTATATTGGAAATTTAAGTGAAGTATAGTGCATGATATGACTTCGATAAGCATTATATTAAAAAAATATGTTGATGTTACAAATATGGTGGACAATAACATTAAAATCGGCTGAAGATGTATATCGAAAGTATATAAACCGATCTCAATAAAATTTGGCAGAGGTATTTTCGAGCTGTATCTGATGCCCGGTATCATATAGCATTGTTGGGGAGTGCATACTACGCTTGTAGTATCTTAACTTTAACACCAAATCGGATGAAACATATATTTGGGAGCTATAGCTATATCTGAACCAAATTTGAGGTACTAGTTTCTAGACCGAATTGAGCCGGGTGTGCTAAAATTCAATTCATTTGAGCTAATATTTGCCACTTGGTGCACAATAAACCTGATATCGGATAAAGATATATATGGGAGCTATATCCTAATCTGAACCGATCTCCATAAAACTTGACTTACGTATTTTCGAGCTGAGTCTGTAGTCCGGTTCCAAATATCAGTCGTGTGGAGTGCATGTGAGGGATTTAAAACCCCAAATAGGATGAAACATATATGGTGGAGCTATTTTTCTCCAAATTTGATATACGTGCTTCTAGACCGAATTCGGACGGATGTACAAAAATGCAGGCCATCTTGTGATATTGCCCGAAATTGGTTGAAGATATACATATAGAAAATATATCTACATTTGAACCCATTCTCACCAATTTCAATAGAATTCGTCCTTGGGCCAAACAAATGTTGTTTGCAAAATTGTATCTCAATCGGATCAGCATTTTGTTTACAAAAATACGGACGGACTGATATGTAAAAGATATATGTTTACAAAATTTGAATTATTAATAATCCAATTGTGTATCCCAATTTATTGAGATATTTGTTCATTGTACTTCGTTTACGATTTATAAAGATCCAGTGTTCTTATACCCTGCTTATTACATACATGAGAAACGAAATATAATTTATAGAATCACACTCTGAGTCGATTTCCACAAATCATTTGTTTAGCCCAAGGACGAAACCTATTGAAATTAATAAGAATCTGTCCGAATTTAGATATAATCTTAGTCCAATTTTATTTGAATGAAGTTATTCGTTAACTCTCAACAACAAGGTGGTCAGGGTATTATGTCTTTGTGCATTTGTTTGTAACAGGCAAAAGGAAATGAGATAGACCCATAGTTCCTTTTGATGATCTGCATAGAATCACTTTCTGAATTGAATTATGAATGTCAGTCCGACTGTCCGTCCGTCTGTCCATGTATTCTTGTGAACAAAAGGCAGGTCGCATTTATTATCCGATTGAGATGAAATTTTCCAAACAATATTTGTTTGGCCCAAGGACGACCCTATTGAAATTGGAGATAATCGGTAAAAATTTAGATATAGCTCCCATATATATCTTCGTCCGATTTGCCTTCTATTGTGCACCAAAGGTGTAATATCAGCCGGAGTAGTATGGATTTTGCACATACAACCAAGTTAGGCCTGAAAATAAGTATGCCAAATTTGATCGAAATCGGTTCAGATATAGCTATAGTTCCCATATATATTGTTCATCCGATTTGTTATTTTTGTCCTCCGCAGCCGTAATATGCACTCCGTAACAACGATATTCAGGGAAATATGTCAAATACAGCTCAGAAATATATTTGCCAAATTTTATCGAAATCGGTTCAGATTTGGATATAGCTCCCATATATATCTTTATCTGATTTCAAATTAATTTTGCAATACAAATCCGAATTTAAAAGATACAAAAGCTTCGGCATATTTAGTCCTTTGAATTTTAAATTATAATTATAATCATAGGGCTTATGATTGAATTCTCCCATAAAAAACTTTTAATTGTTATGTGGAGATCAACTAAATTAGCAAAGTGGTGTAGAGTATCATAAAATAGGCCCCGCCTATTGACATCAGCTTGTTCAGTATTTATCTCCACTATAATTAACCTTTAATGTGCCTATACTTCTTTATTGACTGCATTCGTGTTTATATCCTAACCCACTTTTGTGATTTTGAATCATTAAAATCACCTTTAACTTGCTATTGTTTCTTTGTGTGTGGTTATAAACCAAAAAGACCCATTTTAATTGGATCGTAATTAATCTTCCATTAGCACTAGTGCTAGTACAGATTCAAGACAATGCCAGATTAAAATAGAAACTGAATGAAAAACAAGACGAAGAAATTTCTCGTCTATCCACTATTGTTTGACTGCAATAACCAGTGAAATGCATTTCATTCCATTCCAATGCAAGAAAATAGTAATATTTGATTGCAGTGGTGGTAATCTATCATTAAAATGAAATTAATGACATCTCAAAAGTGTGGCAATTAAAGGGTAGTTAAAGTCCTCAAAAGGCCGCACTGAAAAATTCTACTAAAAGGCCACGACATTCTTTGTGAAGTTTAAAAATTTTATGAATGAAATCTCGGTTTGGAAGAAATGGATTATAAAAAATGTGAGGTTCACGATGAAATTTTCTTACTATGATAAATGTTTAAAGACAGCTAAAGAAAAAAGTGAGTTAAGAAACCAGATATACACGAGTACTTAAGCTTGGAATTGGCAACTTGTAATGTTGTAAATTTCCCTTCCAAAAATGTTCAATGCTGCTGTGGTATCGTATCTTCTTTTTACCGCTGTACTAATTCTTTTTGTTGTGGAGTCTCTTGAGACCATCGTCATGATGCTGCTGTCAAATTCTGCAAGATTAAGTTAACAGAGAAAAAGTCCTACCGTTGAATGAAAATATTTCGTCTACCTATGGAAGCAGACTGCACTGCATACACTGGTTGGAAGATTGGCATTAAAAATTAGGAACGTGCCATTCTTTGACTACTTACAGGTGAACAATGCCGATGATGGCAGGATGATATCATTGATGATATAAATGCAATGATTAGCATTACGTGAGTGTGATTTACTTCGTCATTGGCGACGATGTCTAATATCTGCAGAATACGTGATTTAATATTTTACTTAAATACAAGCACGATTGACTTTTGTAAGCCGACCATATTACACCCTGAGCCTGCATTTCTAAGCAAAACAAAAACATTTACAGAAAGAACCAAAAAAAAAGGTTTGAAGAGGTCGAAATGCGTCGCTGTGTACCCTAAGAACGATAGAGGTTAGCCGGCTTACTAACCCGGACATTTTACGAGTTTCTCTAATCTTTTTATACCCTCCACCACAAAAAGTATATAGGGTATATTAAGTTCGCCATTCCGTTTGCAACTCATCGAAATAATCATTTTAGACCCAACAAAGTATATATATTCTTCATCAGCGTAAAATTCCTAGACGATTTAGCCCTGTCCGTCCGTCCGTCTGTCCGTCTGTTGTAATCACGCTACAGTCTAAACGAATTAAGATTGGAAGCTAAAATTATGCACAGAGGCAGGCAGGTCAAGTTCGAAGATGGCATATATCGGTCCACTATATCGTATAGCCCCCATATAACAGTACCCCCGATATTCGGTATTTTGATGATTTTACCCACATTCTTCAACGGAATTGTCTGTAAAACCACACAAGGAGCTCGTTGTGGGTACTTTATTCCTCGGCAGAGAATTATCTATATAGGTTCACAATATCTTATAGCCCCCATATAACGTACCCCAACGGTATTGGGTATTTTGATGATTTTAGCCACATTTTTCAATGGAATTGTCTGAAATTCCACAAAAGGAGTACCTTGTGTGCATTTTACCTCCTCAAAAAGAATTGTCTATATAGGTCCACGATATCGTATATCCCCCATATAAATGTACCCCCCGATATTCCGTATTTTGATGATGTTAGCCACATTTTTCAATGGAATTGTCTTAAAATCCACACAAGTAGTTCCTTGTACTTTACACGCAGACATAGATTTGTCTTTTTAGGTCTACAAAATCGTATATCCCCCAATTATCGGCACCTTCCTATATTAGATATTTTAAAGATTTTAAAATAATTTTTAATAGATTTTATTTTTTTGAAAATTTTTTAATTCGTTCCAAAGGGTGGAGGGTATTCAAAGTTCGGCCCGGCCGAAATTACTGCTTTTTTACTTGTTTAGATTACATAAAATAAGACCCCTGCTGTGGCGTAGGGTATTCGAACTAAAAGATTTCTCTACTCCTCTTTCTTCCATCATGCTAAATTAGACAACTTAGTTTCATTTTGTTGAGTTTTTCTTAATACCGAACACTTGCAAATCTTAAATTGTCTGCTGCAAAATGTCATCTCAATTACGCTAAGCATAACATTTGTAATTTCCTAATATTTATTCTTTTTTGCAAAAGATAACAACGAAAGAAAAAAAGAAAACTAACAAACCCGAAACATGCCAGACAAAAATACAAAAAAAGCATTATATCTGTTATAAGGCGTATTAATACGCTGACATTTCTTCTAAAAATATTTTTCTTAATAAAAATGTTGGATTATAGCCAAATTCGTATTTGATATTAACAGTATGGAAGAGACAGAGAAACTTTTAGCGTCACAAATGTTCACTCAATAAAAAAAAATATTGGGCAAATTTGAAGTGTCATTTGTTTTACGACATTTGCATGACAGAAATGCAAATGTAGTACCCCACTTAACAGTTTTCATCGGCAAAGCTAAAACGCTAGATGGAATAAATTGGAAGATATGTATTTAGTCCAGGAGGAAAGAAAAACAAAATACCGGTCTTCCCATAGAAAACCAGAAGGTCTTCTCATAGACAACCAGATGGTCTTCTCATAGAACACCCGAAGGACTTCTCATAGAAGACCAGAAAATCTTCTCATAGAAGACCAGAAAGTCTTCTCATAGAAGTCCATAAGGTCTTCTCATAGAAGATCAGAAGGTCTTATAAAGAACACCAGAAGGTCTTCAAATAGAAGACCAAAAATGTCTTCTTATAGAAGTCGAGAAGGTCTTCATATAAAAGACAAAAAGGTCTTCTTATAGAAGACGATAAGGTCTTCTTATAATTAATTGTCCACACTTAAAGTTTCTGACTTTCAACTGAACGAAAACTTTCAGAATATCAATCATCCGTCGATATCAATCATAAAACTGTCATTTTTTAATTGAGTTGTTTGTTTCTTCATTAAAATTTTGACATTTTCATAGTCGAAACAATACAAATGTTTGAGTCGATCTATTACAGTAAGCCGATTAAACTGAACGAGACTGAAAACCAACCAACAAAACCAAATAAAATAGATGGATGATTGAATAAATCCGGAACGAAAGCAGAGACAAAAATCACAAAACAATTATTGATTGTATGCGAGATGCATTAGATAATCTTTCCCACCCTACACACATCGACGACAATGGATGTTTTGCAACTGTCTAATTATAACAAAAGGCCAGGCCACAAACCATGGCCACAAAAACGAGACACTTCGTCACAATCGATCAAATAATTTGTATACATTTTGAAACAGAAAATCTGAAATAATTGTTATGAACTTTGAACTATCTATATTTATATGTATGCCCCTGTATTTCTTCAACATTTGAACGTCGCCACAATGTCTTTATATCTGGTTTTCTGTTGTGGTAGGAAAGTTTATCTCAGAATTATTTTTCAAAATTTAATAAAGAGAAACAAAGAATAAAGAAAAAAGCAACCATTTGACATTGTTGCATCTTCCCTAAATGACCACAACTATTTCTCATTTAAATTGTTTCTATTTTCTTATCTTTCTATAACTCTTGGCAAGCCGTTCGTCTGCAGTTGTCGATTCCTATTTTCAGTTTAATTCAATTTTGATTTAAAAAAAAATAGTTTAGTCATAAAATAGAGCCAATCAAATGTAATCTCTTTTATATGACCACTGCAGAGGAGAAAAGAAAATAGAAACGGATATTAAACAGTGCTCAAAAAGTAAAAAAAAAAACCAGTAAGGAAAGCTCAAAAGTCGGGCGGGGCCGACTATATGATACCCTAAACCACTATCCATATTTAGTAGAGCTCTCATAAAAAGGTTTATACAGGGCATTTCAGAGCTCTATGAGATATTTGGTACAAAATCAAATCTCTGAACCGATTTTTACTAAAATTGGTGTACTTGCTTATAGGCTGGTTTCGGTTGAATTTGCCAAAATTCATGCCATTTGGGCTGATATTGGCCATTTGATGCACAATTAACACGAAATCGGATGAAGATATATATGGGAGGCATATCCAAATCGGAACAGATTTTAATAAAATTAAAATCAACTATTTTTGGGCTTTATCTGATATCTGGTACCAAATATCATTCCTGTGGAGTGCATATTACGAATGTGAGGGACTTAAAGACCAAATCGGATGAAAGATATATATGGGAGCTATAGCTATATCTGGACCGATTTTTACTAAAATTGGTGTACTTGCTTCTAAGCTGGTTTCGGTCGGATTTGCCAAAATTGATGCTATTACGGCCATTTGGTGGTCAATCACCCGAAATCGGATGAAGATATATATGGGAGCTATATCTAAATTTGATCCGATTCTCACCAATTTCAATAGGGTTCGTCCTTGGGCCAAAAAAGTATTGTTTGGAAAATTTCATCTCAATCGGATAATAAATGCGACCTGCATTTTGTTCACAAGAATACATGGACAGACGGACGGACGGACGGACAGACGGACTGACATGCATAAATCGACTCAGAAAGTGATTCTATGAAGGTTCTCAAAAGTATCTATGGGTCTATCTTGTTTCCTTTTCCATGTTACAAACAAATGCACAAAGACATAATACCCTTACCACTATGTGGTGTAGGGTATAAAAACAGTAAAGAAAGTCTTAAAGTCGGGCGAGGCCGATTTTATGATACCCTACACCACTTTGCTTTAGTTTAAGCTCTATATAACAATTAAAATTTTTTTATTGGAGAATTCAATCATACACCCTATGATTATAATTATAATTTAAAATTCAAAGGACTAAATATGCCGAAGCATTTGTATCTTTTAAATTCGGGCTTGTATTGCCCATTTGGTGCACAATTAATTTGAAACCGGATAAAAATATATATGGGAGCTATATCCAAATCGGAACCGATCTCGATAAAATTTGGCAATGATATTTCTGGAGCTGTATTTGACATATTTGCCTGAATATCGTTCTTACGGAGTGCATATTATGGCTGTGGGTAAGAAATACAATAAGTCGGATGAATAATATATATGGGAGCTATAGCTATATCTCAACCGATCTTCACCAAATTTCACACACTAGCTTCTAGACTCAATTCAGTTGTAAGTGTCAAATTTCATCCAATTTGGACAAATATTAGACGTTTGGTGCACAGTCAAAAGTAAATCGGACGAAGTTATATATGGGAGCTATATCCAAATCTGAACCGATCTCGATAAAATTTAGCAAAGGTATTTCTGAGCTATATTTGATATATTTCCGAAAATATTGTTATTACAGAGTGCAGCATTTTACAGCTGCGGAGGACAAAAATAACAAATAGGATGAACAATTTATATGGGAGCTATAGCTATATCTGAACCGATTTCGATCAAATTTGGCATACTTATTTCCAATCTGATAGTACGTGCAAAATTCCGTACTATTCGGACTGATATTACACGTTTGGTGCACAATAAAAGCAAATCCGACGAAGATATATATGGGAGCTATATCTAAATTTTGAGCGATTATCTCCAATTTCAATAGGGTTCGTCCTTGGGCCAAACAAATGATTTGTGCAAAATTTCATCTGGATAGGGCAATAAATGCGAACTGTACTTTGTTTACAAAAATACATGTACAGACGATCGGACGGACATGCATAAATCGACTCAGAATGTGATTCTATGCAGATCATCAAAAGGAACTATGGGTCTATCTCGTTTCCTTTTGCCTGTTACAAACAAATGCACAAAGACATAATACCCTGACCACCTTATGGTATAGGGTATGATAATATGCAAAATAGGTTAGATTTTTTAGTGCCTGCACATTGGTTAATGAGGACTTAAGGAAATAAGGAATAAGGAAATGACTAAAACTAGAGTCTTGAATACTACTTAAATCATAAGAATACCGAATATAGGGCCTATACCAATACGTGGACATGTATGTGCAATTTTTGTCATAGGTCATTACAACAGTGAAATACGAAACTTTAAACAAATCCGGTGAATAATGCCGCTAAATATATAGTCATAGACTGTAGTACCCATTAGGAACTTCAAAAGTACGAACTTTGAAACAATTACGGTGAATAATGTTGCTAAAATCATCAACATATCGAATATAGGGGCTTACCGCTATATGGGGGATACACGAAGACCTAGACCGGCATACGCCATTTTCTATCGTAGGATGTAGTGCTCATTAAGAACTTCTAATTTCCAATTTGAAAACTTTTCGGTGAAAAGTCAGACATCGCTAAATCGACATATAATTTTATGCTGATCAAGAATATACCTTTCGTACAATGGTGGAGGATATAAAAGAAGCACCAAAATTGTACACCAAACAGTAGAACATAACACATATTTGGGACGAGATCAAAATCACATGCTTTAAACATTCTGTTTGAGGATTGCCTATTTTGACAACCCCGGAATATGTTTCATATGTAATTAAACACACTCCTAACTCAAGGGTTCGACTTGAGTATGTAAATTGACTTACTCTGGGCAATTGTGTTGTCTATAGGGCCACTTACGACAAAAGTGTTTTAATACACCTCTCCGCCTTTAATCTGACCACGGTTATCCAACAGCAAGTAGAATTCCCTGAGCAAGTTCTTTCTCCTGGAAGAGCAATTTGTCCAAATATTTTCTTCCTCTGTTGAGACACGCCAAAATTCTCGTCTTCGTTTAGTTCCACTTTTAGCTTAATTTTTATGCAATTTTCTCCAAAATTGATTTGCAATTTTTACTCAACCACTGTGTTGGGTAATTTTTTCCTTTTTTGTTTGTCTCTAGCCCGTCACCAAATTAAAACACTTCTTCACTCTTTAATTGTTTCAAATAAGAATGTTTTATTTCTTTTCTATTCTGGTTTAACAACCAAAGGAATAGCGGGACAATATTTTTTGCATTGAATAGCAGCAGAGCGATCAGCAGAGGCAGAGCAATAACATAAACAGAGATGATGCACTCAACGTATGTATGTATGTTTGTACGTATGTGCGTTCTCTGCCTATCACTTGATCGTCTGACTGCTCATCCATATTTACAACAACAATGCTAGTTATGATGTATTCTCTTTAGGGCGAATTCAAAGTAAATAATAAAAAAAGGGAAAACAGAAAAAATGACATTAAGGTGGCTCTTGTAGCGTTAAAATATTAAGTACTGAAAATAATTAATTTAAATAATGTTATGTTTTCAAAAATGCTCTTTGAGCAACAAATCAAATTTAAATAATATTAAAAAATCATTTGAGTGATTTAACATCCCGGGCCCCATTGAAACCCTGGTTTCAATCAAACTTTATTCTTTAGGAAGTACGGCTAACTTTGCCACGGGACGCTTTAATGTAGTTTGTGATGTCTTGACTTCTGCCACTCGAACAAAACCGTCTGCTCCTGGAATAAGTTTGGTAACTCGACCGATGGCCCATTTCATGGGGGGAACATTGTCTTCGTGTATGAGCACCATATCGTTGACTTGAAGATTTTGTTGTGGGTTTTTCCAGCGATAACGATTTTGTAACTGAGCCAAGTATTCTGTGTGCCACCTGCTCCAGAAATGAGACTTTATGGCTGAGATTCGTTGCCACTGTTGTAGATGAGAAATGTCAGAGTCATATTTTATCTTCTCTGGAATACACTGCAACGGGCAACCAATGAGTAAATGCCCTGGAGTAAGCGCTTCTAAGTCGTTGGGATCTGTGGATATCTGGCAGATAGGACGGGAATTTAAAATTGCCTCTATTTCAACAAGGGCTGTGCATAGCTCTTCAAATGTAAGACGAGCACTAGGGAGCGTTCTGAGCAAGTGGCCTTTAGCTGATTTCACAGCAGCTTCCCATAGTCCACCAAAATGAGGAGCTCTGGGAGGAATGAAGGAAAATTCTATGAACTTCGCAGATGAATAATGAGCAACTGCTTCCTTATTTTTGTCGAGGTGGAAAAATTTATGAAAATCACTCAATTTCCTCTCTGCTCCAACAAAATTGGTAGCGTTATCGCAATAAATTCTTGACGGTACACCTCTGCGGCCAGTAAACCGTTTTAATGCTGCTATGAAGGCCTCGCTGGACAAGTCGGATACCGCTTCTAGGTGTACTGCCTTTGATGCGAAGCAAACGAAGACAGCAATGTAGGATTTTGATGGAGCTTTCCCTCGAATCCTGAGATACGTTGGTATGGGACCAGCAAAATCAACTCCAACAACATCAAATGGGCGGAAACGGGTAACTCTATCTTTGGGTAAGTTGCCCATTACCTGAGTGAGTAATTTCGGTTTGTATCTTGTGCAATGTATGCACTGATGAACAACCTTACGTGCCAAAGACCGACAATTGATAATCCAAAATTGCTGCTGAACCAAAGATACTAAGGCCCTTGGACCAGCATGGTAATTAGAGCGATGAATGTATATCACCATGATTTTTACGAAGGGATCGATTTTGGGCAGGAGCAAAGGAAACTTCATCTCTGGTGTAAGCTCGGCATTTAATAATCGGCCGCCAACTCTTATTAATTGCACTCCAGAGACATCTTCTATAAATGGAGCCAATGATGACAGCTGACCAGAGACAAATCCATGCTTTGATATTTCAAGGAATTCCTCCGAAAAATAATGTTGTTGAATGCACCAGACTATCCTATGGAGAGAAGGTGTCAACTCATCTGGAGATATAGAGGGCAAGTGGAGCGATTTCCTTGAACGAATTCGAAATATATATGAGAATATTCTGAGACATTTTAAATAGTTACTGAATTTATGGACTGTTTTTAGGATATAGGGTAAGTCCTCCTTTTTTGTTATCAATGTAATTTTTCGTCTTTCAAGATGCATGTCCGCTTCGCTTAGACTTGGGCCAGAATAATTTGGCCAATTGAAAAATGGACCCATAAGGAAGGAAGGGCCTACGAACCAAGGCGAAACCAATATATCGGAGACAGAACAACCTCTGGATACTAAATCAGCGGGATTGTGTTCAGTAGGAACATATTGCCATAGGACATCAGGGCAAGTTTCTTGAATCTCAGCTACTCTGTTACCCACAAAAGTAGACAAGGTTGAAGAGTGGGACTTAATCCAATGAAGAGTAATCTGAGAATCCGACCAAAAGTAGATTTGAGAAATCGGGAATTTAAAATATTGCTTTAATTGGCTCCAGAAGGTTGCGAGTAAATGAGCAGCACACAACTCTAATCGAGGCAACGTTCTCGTTTTCAAAGGCGCAACTCTTGACTTTGATGCGATTAAATTTACTGCTATGTTTCCCAAAGAATCTTCACAGCGAAGATATAAACAGCAACCATATGCCTTTATTGAAGCATCTCCAAATCCATGGACCTCTATGTTAGTTGAATTTGGCAGTCGAATGTATCGAGGAATCTTTACTTGAGACAAATTATTGTAATCAGCCATGATGGATTCCCACGCTGATTCAATTTCTTGAGGAACTGATTCATCCCAATCACATTTTATGATCCAAAGATGTTGGAGCAATATTTTTGACCTGATGATGAGAGGGCTTATTAAACCCATTGGGTCAAAGAGCGTCGACGTCAGGGAAAGAATGTTTCTTTTCGTATTATGTGCATATGATTTGGATGGGCGAAACTCAAAATGGAATGTGTCATTATCTGAGTGCCATGTCATACCCAAAGTACTTGTGACGTCATCATTTAGCTTCATTTCTTTTACTTCATCTTCACTTGAGACATAACCTGGGTAATTGCTATGCCATTTCGAGAGTGAAAATTTCGAGTAAGATAAAATTTCGGTGACTTCGTTCTTAATGCGTTTTAAAGATACAAGGTCATCCGCTCCAGTAACCATATCGTCGACATAAAAATCATTCATGATTATGCCTTTTCCTACTTCGTATGGGTTGGGAAAACGTTCTGCGGCATAATGTAGGCTTCGAATTGCGAGATATGGTGCCGAAGCTGTCCCGTATGTAACGGTGTTGAGGGCAAATGTTTTTATCGGTTTGGTGGAGTCATCTCTCCACAGTATAAGCTGAAGTTGTCTATCCTCAGGGTGAACCAAAACCTGACGATACATTTTGACGATATCAGCTGTCATTCCGTAACGATGACACCTGAAACGAAGCAGAGTAATTAATAAATTGTTCTGGATTGTTGGACCCACCATCATAATTTCATTCAGGGATGTTTGTGAAGAGGTTCGACATGATGCGTCGAAAACAACACGCAACTTGGTCGACACACTGCTGGGGCGAAGAACACAGTGATGTGGTATGTAATAGTTGGGAACTGAAATATTAGTGTCGTCCACCTGAGACATATGGCCCAATTCCTCATATTCTTTAAGAAATTGTGAGTAATCCTCTTTTAATTCAGGGTTTTTGTTCAATTTTCTCTCTATGGAAAAGAAACGACGCAGGGCAATGTCTCGTGAATCGCCAAGCACATTTGGGTCACCTTTAAAGGGTAATCTCACCATTAAGCGTCCATCCGATTGAACTGATACATTTTTCACAAAATGGTCTTCACATACTTTTTGTTCTCGGGACATATTTTGGCATTTGCTTTCAACGACGTCAATTTTCCATAGCATTTCAATATTTTTATTTATCTCTTGGAAAATATCTTTGTGTTGTACAATGGAGTAAGTAGACCTTTGTGATGATATTGCCGTTTGACTTGTATACTTTCCAGAGACAATCCATCCCAAGAGAGTTTTTTGTAAAGTGGGCAAATTTTCTCCAAATTTAATTTGACCAACGGATAAGAGCGAAAAGAATGATTCTGCTCCGAGTAAAATATCGATTCCTCGTCGACGATGAAATTCTGGATCAGCTAGCTCTATGTTGGAGGGCAAATTGAAATCATTAACGGAAAGATTCTCATCAGGATGATAACCAGTTATATTGCGAGAAACCAGGAACTCTAATGACATATTGAAGTTATTAAGACGAGATCTTATTGTCGTTTGTGTTTTATGAGTGACTCTCAACTTCGAAGAGCCAACTCCAGAGACATCTGTTGAATTTGTGCATTTCTTGAGATTAAGAGATTTGCATAATGTCTCACTTATGAAGTTAACTTGAGAGCAAGAGTCAAGCAGAGCACGGCCCAATTGATATTTTCCCTCTGAGTCACGAACCAATACTAATGCAGTAGCAAGAATAACAGCACTCACTTGGGGACTGGGTTTGTTTTGAAAGGTGCTATGTGTAGCAGCAGATGATGATGACGGTTCTTCTTCTTTCTGGGGACAGGTTGGTTCTAATTGCTTATGAAGAAGCGAGTGATGACGTTGTTTACAAAATCTACATGAATATTTTGAGGGGCATTGTATGTAACCATGCCCTTTTGATAAACAGTTGAGACAAAGTTTTTGTTGCTTAGCTTGTTCAATTCGTTGATTAGGAGTAAGAACGATGAACCGCTGACAAGTTGATATCATATGACCCGATTTGGAGCAATGACTGCACACAAAATCTTGAGTCACATTTTTTGTTACGAATGAATGTTGTTTTTGATTATTACTATGTGAGTAATTTGTTGTTATGGTAGGGTTATGCTGTTTTGAAGACCGTCGGCACTGTGCGTCCAATTGCTGACAACGCTTGTCCAACATGGAGCAACATTCAGTCCAAGAGGGTAATTTAGAGTAATCGATGTATTCATCCCATCGTTGTTTGGTTTCAGAATCAACCTTGCTCATTGCGAGATGAATTATGAAGGCATCACAAATTTGTTCAAAGGAGCCAAGGGATTTCAAAGAGCTATAGAGAGCAGAAATTGTATCCACAATATTTCTCAATTGCTTTGGAACAGGTTTATTGGACTTCGGAAGTTCAAACATTGATGTCACATTTTCAAGAAAGATTAGTGTGTCATTATCGTACCGCTCCTTCAATCTTTTAAGGGCACTAGAATAATTTTCATCAGTGACTTGGAATGCCTTTATGGTTGCAAGCGCTTCCCCACTAAGACACGAGAGTAAGTGGTTGAATTTTTCCGAAGTAGAAATATTTGGGTCATTGTGGACCAAATTGTTAAACGTATTTATAAAGTTCTTATATTCCAGATATTTCCCGTCAAACTTCGGTAATTTTAAGCTGGGTAATCTATTAGATGGGACATGAGGCAACACAAAAGATTGATCAGTTACACTAGGACGTCTATCTTGCCCAATTTGAGTAAGAATTTTAGTTTTAATTGAAACATATAGTTCCTCAATTTCGGCTCTTCCATTATCTCTGGGAGACAATCTTTCTATCTGACTTTGGTAGTAAGAAGCTTGCTTGTAGTGGGATTCTACAATTCCCAACCGACACTCAAGTTCTGTATGAGACAATGAAGTGTTGGATTCAATTATATTTTTAATTCGGGTCATACTCCCCTTTGACGAGCCACGTTGTTGTTTCAATTCCTCAATGGTTGTGTCCCTTTGGGAACCTTGGACTTGTTCATCAGTCATTTGGAATTATAATTTATTATAAATTTGTGTAAAAATGTTTTCCGTTGTTTACCGATGATAGGATTATGTTGCGCAAGAAAAAGAAGCCGGTTTATGAGAATGCCGTCTCAGTCTAATTTTCAGCTTCAGCCACTTGAGCAACGATAGTTTTAAAAATGGCACCAAAAAATTAGATGAAAAGTAGGCGAGAATGCTGTCTCACTCTAAATTTTCAATTCAGCAATATTCCTTATCGCTTATAAAAATGGCTTCGATTCTTTCGCAAAATGACGGAGTAATGGCTGACAGTAAAAAGGCGGGCAAACAAAATCCAAATGCACTTGGGTAATATGGAGCAAAAATTGCAGGTTAAAAAGACACAAGTGTCCTGTCACGGTCGCCAATGTTTGAGGATTGCCTATTTTGACAACCCCGGAATATGTTTCATATGTAATTAAACACACTCCTAACTCAAGGGTTCGACTTGAGTATGTAAATTGACTTACTCTGGGCAATTGTGTTGTCTATAGGGCCACTTACGACAAAAGTGTTTTAATACACCTCTCCGCCTTTAATCTGACCACGGTTATCCAACAGCAAGTAGAATTCCCTGAGCAAGTTCTTTCTCCTGGAAGAGCAATTTGTCCAAATATTTTCTTCCTCTGTTGAGACACGCCAAAATTCTCGCCTTCGTTTAGTTCCACTTTTAGCTTAATTTTTATGCAATTTTCTCCAAAATTGATTTGCAATTTTTACTCAACCACTGTGTTGGGTATTTTTTTCCTTTTTTGTTTGTCTCTAGCCCGTCACCAAATTAAAACACTTCTTCACTCTTTAATTGTTTCAAATAAGAATGTTTTATTTCTTTTCTATTCTGGTTTAACAACCAAAGGAATAGCGGGACAATATTTTTTGCATTGAATAGCAGCAGAGCGATCAGCAGAGGCAGAGCAATAACATAAACAGAGATGATGCACTCAACGTATGTATGTATGTTTGTACGTATGTGCGTTCTCTGCCTATCACTTGATCGTCTGACTGCTCATCCATATTTACAACAACAATGCTAGTTATGATGTATTCTCTTTAGGGCGAATTCAAAGTAAATAATTAAAAAAGGGAAAACAGAAAAAATGACATTAAGGTGGCTCTTGTAGCGTTAAAATATTAAGTACTGAAAATAATTAATTTAAATAATGTTATGTTTTCAAAAATGCTCTTTGAGCAACAAATCAAATTTAAATAATATTAAAAAATCATTTGAGTGATTTAACACATTCGATTGGGGTCTCACCAATGTGGTGATGATCGAACAGAATATTTTTCCTTGAAAAAATAGAAAGGGTGTATTTAAAAGTATACGTCTTTAAACTATTTAAAAAGCTGCATCGACAAGAGCTGCGGGTTCAGATCAGATCAATATAGCTGCAATATATTTCTACATGCGACGTCACAGCATAAGCAGGTAATGCAATGCGACAAGAGCTGCGGGTTCAGATCAGATCAATATATCTGCAATATATTTCTACATGCGACGTCACAGCATAAGCAGCTAATGCACCATCAAATAAATGGGTAATATTAACCAAAAAATGTTTATCAAAATGCGCTAAATTTGCTCATTGAAAATATTTTAATTATCAAACAAATGGGAAATATATCCCAAGTCGGATTCGAGGTTATTTAAACACTCAGACTCCAACAAAATCACTCATCTCCACTGGTTGACACCATCAATATACCAAACATGAAGAGGTACCGCTTTGTTAAGCCTATACTAAAACCTTACTTATACTGGCAATTTTACTCCAGAAGGTACCAAAATTCATGTAGTGCGGTTAAAAATGAGAGAAAATGTTCATACCTCATTTTCTCTCATTTTTAACCGCTCTACATGGATTTTGGTACCATGGTACAATAAAGAGGTAAGGTAAAGCTACCAGCTGATTACAATTTTTTTCTAAGTGTGTCCGTCTTCTGCCAATTTTGTGTATGTATTTATTGTTTTGAAAAAAAAAAAAATAATATTTTCAAAACCAATGATTGGAAGACACGTACATTGCGGCTAGCGTATTAAAGCTATTAACCAGTTTACCCATAAAATTGATAGATTCAATAGTTTGGATCATATTTTTGAGAGAAAATCCAAGCATTTCATTCAATTTTTGCGCTAATTAACTCAATATGAAAATATGAAAAAATTATAACAACAACAATTTTGAATGAGTCTGACAGAAAGCGGGCATAGCCTCAGGGCTGTATTTCTGTAGTTTTACGAAGCTGTTCTACCTCCTTATTATACCATGTTTGGTACCTTCTGGATATTTATAAATATTATGTATCCACTGCCATATTTAAGTCACAAAACATTACATATGCTAAAAACCCAGGCTAGACAGACGTATTTACCCAAACGCACACAACGTATGTGAAAATAGCCCTTGTCATGTGACAATGACTCCAAATGACATCGGACATTTAATAAATACTAGACATAAGTACACTTGTGCATTGTATTTTTGGTTATATGTAATTCTGGTCAATAATATAAGTGTGTAAAGACAAACAATTTTAGATTTTGCAGAACTTCTTACACACTTACTCAGACGCACTTACATACATTTATTCCCTGCAAGCATTTGAATGTGAGTTTTTAACTCCATCACCTAATATTACACTACTTTGTCGCTTCCTGCTTGTGAAACGTTGATAGTTGGTCGATTTGCAATAACAATTCTATTGCCCCTCTACAGTCAACTAATTTTCATCGCCAATAGTAATTTTTTCGGCACTTCCAGTAGATTAAAGTGCGATTGTTTTGTTTACTCCCAAAACGGATAACAAATTTAAACGAGTTCAGTTTATCGGAGATCGGCATTGGTGCACGAAAAAAAATAAAAAAATGTATTAAATTTATTTTGGGAAAAATAATTGTGCCATTTTCCACTAGTTTTTAGTGTATGTGTTCAAATAATTTTTTAAAAATTCAAAAAGAAGTGATATACAAAAATAAAAAAATTAATATTATTTAGTGAAAAAATAAAATTAAATTTTGTGTTCATAACTGTGTTTTACTTATGCTTTTTTTAATGCCTTTGTTAAATCACTCAAATGATTTTTTAATATTATTTAAATTTGATTTGTTGCTCAAAGAGCATTTTTGAAAACATAACATTATTTAAATTAATTATTTTCAGTACTTAATATTTTAACGCTACAAGAGCCACCTTAATGTCATTTTTTCTGTTTTCCCTTTTTTTTATTATTTACTTTGAATTCGCCCTAAAGAGAATACATCATAACTAGCATTGTTATTGTAAATATGGATGAGCAGTCAGACGATCAAGTGATAGGCAGAGAACGCACATACGTACAAACATACATACATACGTTGAGTGCATCATCTCTGTTTATGTTATTGCTCTGCCTCTGCTGATCGCTCTGCTGCTATTCAATGCAAAAAATATTGTCCCGCTATTCCTTTGGTTGTTAAACCAGAATAGAAAAGAAATAAAACATTCTTATTTGAAACAACTAAAGAGTGAAGAAGTGTTTTAATTTGGTGACGGGCTAGAGGCAAACAAAAAAGTAGATATTACCCAACATACCTGTTGAGTAAAATTTCATATAAATTGAAAATTGTCATAAAAGTTAAATAAATCTTGCCCATTGGAGCAAATAGAAGGAAATTAAGGATTTTCTTTACAAAAACCATCAACAAGTTGGACGGCTATTTTTCTTGCTCGTCGAGGAATCTACCAATAAAGTAGATGCTGGAAACCAAACAAGAACAGAGCAACAGACCTGTAACGCCAATTACGTGAGTAAGTCAAGAGTTCCTGGGACAGTAAGAACGACTTAGAAGGAAATATTGTGCAAGGTATAAGGAGCGTCTGGTAAGAAGCTATTGGATTTCTTTTGTGTCATTAACATACTCAAGCCGAACCCTTGAGTGAGGAGTTTGTTCGATTGCATATTGGACAAATTCCGGGGTTGTCAAAATAGGCAATCCTCAAACATTGGCGACCGTGACAGGACACTTGTGTCTTTTTAACCTACAAATTTTGCTCCATATTACCCAAGTGCATTTGGATTTTGTTTGCCCGCCTTTTTACTGTCAGCCATTACTCCGTCATTTTGCGAAAGAATCGAAGCCATTTTTATAAGCGATAAGGAATATTGCTGAATTGAAAATTTAGAGTGAGACAGCATTCTCGCCTACTTTTCATCTAATTTTTTGGTGCCATTTTTAAACTATCGTTGCTCAAGTGGCTGAAGCTGAAAATTAAACTGAGACGGCATTCTCATAAACCGGCTTCTCTTTCTTGCGAAACATAATCCTATCATCGGTAAACAACGGAAAACATTTTTACACAAATTTATAAAAAATTATAATTCCAAATGACCGATGAACAAGTCCGGGGTTCCCAAAGGGACACAACCATTGAGGAATTGAAACAACAACGTGGCTCGTCAAAGGGGAGTATGACCCGAATTAAAAATATAATTGAATCCAACACTTCATTGTCTCATACAGAACTTGAGTGTCGGTTGGGAATTGTAGAATCCCACTACAAGCAAGCTTCTTACTACCAAAGTCAGATAGAAAGATTGTCTCCCAGAGATAATGGAAGAGCCGAAATTGAGGAACTATATGTTTCAATTAAAACAAAATTCTTACTCAAATTGGGCAAGATAGACGTCCTAGTGTAACTGATCAATCTTTTGTGTTGCCTCATGTCCCATCTAATAGATTACCCAGCTTAAAATTACCGAAGTTTGACGGGAAATATCTGGAATATAAGAACTTTATAAATACGTTTAACAATTTGGTCCACAATGACCCAAATATTTCTACTTCGGAAAAATTCAACCACTTACTCTCGTGTCTTAGTGGGGAAGCGCTTGCAACCATAAAGGCATTCCAAGTCACTGATGAAAATTATTCTAGTGCCCTTAAAAGATTGAAGGAACGGTACGATAATGACACACTAATCTTTCTTGAAAATGTGACATCAATGTTTGAACTTCCGAAGTCCAATAAACCTGTTCCAAAGCAATTGAGAAATATTGTGGATACAATTTCTGCTCTCTATAGCTCTTTGAAATCCCTTGGCTCCTTTGAACAAATTTGTGATGCCTTCATAATTCATCTCGCAATGAGCAAGGTTGATTCTGAAACCAAACAACGATGGGATGAATACATCGATTACTCTAAATTACCCTCTTGGACTGAATGTTGCTCCATGTTGGACAAGCGTTGTCAGCAATTGGACGCACAGTGCCGACGGTCTTCAAAACAGCATAACCCTACCATAACAACAAATTACTCACATAGTAATAATCAAAAACAACATTCATTCGTAACAAAAAATGTGGCTCAAGATTTTGTGTGCAGTCATTGCTCCAAATCGGGTCATATGATATCAACTTGTCAGCGGTTCATCGTTCTTACTCCTAATCAACGAATTGAACAAGCTAAGCAACAAAAACTTTGCCTCAACTGTTTATCAAAAGGGCATGGTTACATACAATGCCCCTCAAAATATTCATGTAGATTTTGTAAACAACGTCATCACTCGCTTCTTCATAAGCAATTAGAACCAACCTGTCCCCAGAAAGAAGAAGAACCGTCATCATCATCTGCTGCTACACATAGCACCTTTCAAAACAAACCCAGTCCCCAAGTGAGTGCTGTTATTCTTGCTACTGCATTAGTATTGGTTCGTGACTCAGAGGGAAAATATCAACTGGGCCGTGCTCTGCTTGACTCTTGCTCTCAAGTTAACTTCATAAGTGAGACATTATGCAAATCTCTTAATCTCAAGAAATGCACAAATTCAACAGATGTCTCTGGAGTTGGCTCTTCGAAGTTGAGAGTCACTCATAAAACACAAACGACAATAAGATCTCGTCTTAATAACTTCAATATGTCATTAGAGTTCCTGGTTTCTCGCAATATAACTGGTTATCATCCTGATGAGAATCTTTCCGTTAATGATTTCAATTTGCCCTCCAACATAGAGCTAGCTGATCCAGAATTTCATCGTCGACGTGGAATCGATATTTTACTCGGAGCAGAATCATTCTTTTCGCTCTTATCCGTTGGTCAAATTAAACTTGGAGAAAATTTGCCCACTTTACAAAAAACTCTCTTGGGATGGATTGTCTCTGGAAAGTATACAAGTCAAACGGCAATATCATCACAAAGGTCTACTTACTCCATTGTACAACACAAAGATATTTTCCAAGAGATAAATAAAAATATTGAAATGCTATGGAAAATTGACGTCGTTGAAAGCAAATGCCAAAATATGTCCCGAGAACAAAAAGTATGTGAAGACCATTTTGTGAAAAATGTATCAGTTCAATCGGATGGACGCTTAATGGTGAGATTACCCTTTAAAGGTGACCCAAATGTGCTTGGCGATTCACGAGACATTGCCTTGCGTCGTTTCTTTTCCATAGAGAGAAAATTGAACAAAAACCCTGAATTAAAAGAGGATTACTCACAATTTCTTAAAGAATATGAGGAATTGGGCCATATGTCTCAGGTGGACGACACTAATATTTCAGTTCCCAACTATTACATACCACATCACTGTGTTCTTCGCCCCAGCAGTGTGTCGACCAAGTTGCGTGTTGTTTTCGACGCATCATGTCGAACCTCTTCACAAACATCCCTGAATGAAATTATGATGGTGGGTCCAACAATCCAGAACAATTTATTAATTACTCTGCTTCGTTTCAGGTGTCATCGTTACGGAATGACAGCTGATATCGTCAAAATGTATCGTCAGGTTTTGGTTCACCCTGAGGATAGACAACTTCAGCTTATACTGTGGAGAGATGACTCCACCAAACCGATAAAAACATTTGCCCTCAACACCGTTACATACGGGACAGCTTCGGCACCATATCTCGCAATTCGAAGCCTACATTATGCCGCAGAACGTTTTCCCAACCCATACGAAGTAGGAAAAGACAAAATAATGAATGATTTTTATGTCGACGATATGGTTACTGGAGCGGATGACCTTGTATCTTTAAAACGCATTAAGAACGAAGTCACCGAAATTTTATCTTACTCGAAATTTTCACTCTCGAAATGGCATAGCAATTACCCAGGTTATGTCTCAAGTGAAGATGAAGTAAAAGAAATGAAGCTAAATGATGACGTCACAAGTACTTTGGGTATGACATGGCACTCAGATAATGACACATTCCATTTTGAGTTTCGCCCATCCAAATCATATGCACATAATACGAAAAGAAACATTCTTTCCCTGACGTCGACGCTCTTTGACCCAATGGGTTTAATAAGCCCTCTCATCATCAGGTCAAAAATATTGCTCCAACATCTTTGGATCATAAAATGTGATTGGGATGAATCAGTTCCTCAAGAAATTGAATCAGCTTGGGAATCCATCATGGCTGATTACAATAATTTGTCCCAAGTAAAGATTCCTCGATACATTCGACTACCAAATTCATAACATAGAGGTCCATGGATTTGGAGATGCTTCAATAAAGGCATATGGTTGCTGTTTATATCTTCGCTGTGAAGATTCTTTGGGAAACATAGCAGTAAATTTAATCGCATCAAAGTCAAGAGTTGCGCCTTTGAAAACGAGAACATTGCCTCGATTAGAGTTGTGTGCTGCTCATTTACTCGCAACCTTCTGGAGCCAATTAAAGCAATATTTTAAATTCCCGATTTCTCAAATCTACTTTTGGTCGGATTCTCAGATTACTCTTCATTGGATTAAGTCCCACTCTTCAACCTTGTCTACTTTTGTGGGTAACAGAGTAGCTGAGATTCAAGAAACTTGCCCTGATGTCCTATGGCAATATGTTCCTACTGAACACAATCCCGCTGATTTAGTATCCAGAGGTTGTTCTGTCTCCGATATATTGGTTTCGCCTTGGTTCGTAGGCCCTTCCTTCCTTATGGGTCCATTTTTCAATTGGCCAAATTATTCTGGCCCAAGTCTAAGCGAAGCGGACATGCATCTTGAAAGACGAAAAATTACATTGATAACAAAAAAGGAGGACTTACCCTATATCCTAAAAACAGTCCATAAATTCAGTAACTATTTAAAATGTCTCAGAATATTCTCATATATATTTCGAATTCGTTCAAGGAAATCGCTCCACTTGCCCTCTATATCTCCAGATGAGTTGACACATTCTCTCCATAGGATAGTCTGGTGCATTCAACAACATTATTTTTCGGAGGAATTCCTTGAAATATCAAAGCATGGATTTGTCTCTGGTCAGCTGTCATCATTGGCTCCATTTATAGAAGATGTCTCTGGAGTGCAATTAATAACAGTTGGCGGCCGATTATTAAATGCCGAGCTTACACCAGAGATGAAGTTTCCTTTGCTCCTGCCCAAAACCGATCCCTTCGTAAAAATCATGGTGATCTACATTCATCGCTCTAATTACCATGCTGGTCCAAGAGCCTTAGTATCTTTGGTTCAGCAGCAATTTTGGATTGTCAATTGTCGGTCTTTGGCCCGAAAGGTGGTTCATCAGTGCATACATTGCACAAGATACAAACCGAAATTACTCACTCAGGTAATGGGCAACTTACCCAAGGATCGAGTTACCGGTTTCCGCCCATTTGATATTGTTGGAGTTGATTTTGCTGGTCCCATACCAACGTATCTCAGGATTCGAGGGAAAGCTCCATCAAAATCCTACATTGCTGTCTTCGTTTGTTTCGCATCAAAGGCAGTACACCTAGAAGCGGTATCCGACTTGTCCAGCGAGGCCTTCATAGCAGCATTAAAGCGGTTTGCTGGCCGCAGAGGTGTACCGTCAAGAATTTATTGCGATAACGCTACCAATTTTGTTGGAGCAGAGAGGAAATTGAGTGATTTTCATAAATTTTTCCACCTCGACAAAATAAGGAAGCAATTGCTCATTATATATCCACAGATCCCAACGACTTAGAAGCGCTTACTCCAGGGCATTTACTCATTGGTTGCCCGTTGCAGTGTATTCCAGAGAAGATAAAATATGACTCTGACATTTCTCATCTACAACAGTGGCAACGAATCTCAGCCATAAAGTCTCATTTCTGGAGCAGGTGGCACACAGAATACTTGGCTCAGTTACAAAATCGTTATCGCTGGAAAAACCCACAACAAAATCTTCAAGTCAACGATATGGTGCTCATACACGAAGACAATGTTCCCCCCATGAAATGGGCCATCGGTCGTGTTACCAAACTTAGTCCAGGAGCAGACGGTTTTGTTCGAGTGGCAGAAGTCAAGACATCACAAACTACATTAAAGCGTCCCGTGGCAAAGTTAGCCGTACTTCCTAAAGAATAAAGTTTGATTGAAACCAGGGTTTCAATGGGGCCCGGGATGTTAAATCACTCAAATGATTTTTTAATATTATTTAAATTTGATTTGTTGCTCAAAGAGCATTTTTGAAAACATAACATTATTTAAATTAATTATTTTCAGTACTTAATATTTTAACGCTACAAGAGCCACCTTAATGTCATTTTTTCTGTTTTCCCTTTTTTTATTATTTACTTTGAATTCGCCCTAAAGAGAATACATCATAACTAGCATTGTTATTGTAAATATGGATGAGCAGTCAGACGATCAAGTGATAGGCAGAGAACGCACATACGTACAAACATACATACATACGTTGAGTGCATCATCTCTGTTTATGTTATTGCTCTGCCTCTGCTGATCGCTCTGCTGCTATTCAATGCAAAAAATATTGTCCCGCTATTCCTTTGGTTGTTAAACCAGAATAGAAAAGAAATAAAACATTCTTATTTGAAACAACTAAAGAGTGAAGAAGTGTTTTAATTTGGTGACGGGCTAGAGGCAAACAAAAAAGTAGATATTACCAAACATACCTGTTGAGTAAAATTTCATATAAATTGAAAATTGTCATAAAAGTTAAATAAATCTTGCCCATTGGAGCAAATAGAAGGAAATTAAGGATTTTCTTTACAAAAACCATCAACAAGTTGGACGGCTATTTTTCTTGCTCGTCGAGGAATCTACCAATAAAGTAGATGCTGGAAACCAAACAAGAACAGAGCAACAGACCTGTAACGCCAATTACGTGAGTAAGTCAAGAGTTCCTGGGACAGTAAGAACGACTTAGAAGGAAATATTGTGCAAGGTATAAGGAGCGTCTGGTAAGAAGCTATTGGATTTCTTTTGTGTCATTAACATACTCAAGCCGAACCCTTGAGTGAGGAGTTTGTTCGATTGCATATTGGACAAATTCCGGGGTTGTCAAAATAGGCAATCCTCAAACAGCCTTTTACCTATTGTTTAATTACGATTATTTATTTGAAATCATATTAATAAAGTAATACAAATAATAATTTTATATTAAACACTTCCAGCTCTTTTTTACTTTCTGAAAGCACTGAATATCGCATACAAATCAATAAAGTCACCAACAGTCGATCTCGACTCTTTCACCAAAAAGGCACACCGTTCGGGAAGAAATGAACCACGCACTCGTTACTTCTTAAAATTACCTTCATTGTGACGGCTCAATGTTACTTAATCGGCAACTTCACCTGTCACTAAAAAGTCATGTAACGGAGTAACGAGTGCGTGGTTTATTTCTTCCCGAACGGTGTGCCTCTTCTGTTAAAGATTCAAGATCGCCGGCGAGGGTTTTCATCGCCTGTGGGTGACTTTTTATACCCTCCACCATACTATGGAGGGTATATTAATTTTGTCATTCCGTTTGTAACTCCTCGAAATACTCATGTCAGACCCAACAAAGTATAAATATTCTTGATCAGCGTAAAATTCTAAGACGATTTAGCCATGTCCGTCTGTCTGTCTGTCTGTCTGTCTGTCCGTCTGTCTATCTGTCTGTTGTAATCACGCTATCTTTCGAACAAATTGAGATAGAAGGCTAAAATTTTGCACACATGTATATTTTCCCAGTAGGCAGGTTAAGTTCGTAAATGGGCCATGTAGGTCCAAGTTATCATATAGCCCCCATATAACGGTACCTCCCGATATTCGGTATTTTGATGATTTTAGCGACATTATTAACCGGAATTATTTCAAATTTGGCATTTGAAGTTTGTAATGGATGCTACAGCCTAAGACAGAAAATTATCTGTGCAGGTCCACGTCTTCGTGTAGCCCCCATATAACGGTACCCCCCGATATTCGGTATTTTGATGATTTTAGCGACATTGTTTACCGGAATCGTTTCAAATTTGGTATTTGAAGTTCGTAGTGAATACTACATCCTAAATCAAAAAATGAGCCATATAGGTAAACGTCTTCATATAGCCCCCATATAACGGTACCCCCGATATTCGGTATTTTGATGATTTTAGCGACATTGTTTACCGGAATCGTTTCAAATTTGGTATTTGAAGTTCGTAATAGATACTACATCCAAAGTCTAAAAATGTGCCATGTAGGTCCACGTCTTCATATAGCCCCCATATAACGGTACCCCCGATATTCGGTATTTTGATGATTTTAGCGACATTATTTACAGGGATTGTTTCAAATTTCGCATGTGAAGTTCGTAATGGATACTTCAGCCCATGCCAGAAAATTGTATGTGCAGGTCCACGTCTTCGTATAGCCCCCATATAACGGTACCCCCCATATTCGGTATTTTGATGATTTTAGCTACATTATAAACAGATTTCTCTTCAAGTTTCGCATTTAAATATTGTAATAATTTATGACAAAAGTTGCCTATGCAGGCCCACGTCGTCGTATAGGCATTCGGTATTTTTATGATATTAACAGAATTTTTAACGGGTTTTATTTTTTGGAAATTGCCAAATTTGTACCAAATGGTGGAGGGTATTAAAAGTTCGGCCCGGCCGAACTTACAGCTTTTTTACTTGTTAGTTATGTCAGCGACAAAAAATGCTTGCTAGGTTGTATATTAGATAGAAAGCACAATGTCATTTCTAACGAAAATGTATGTTGAAGAAATTTTCAGTATATGTGTACGAAAGTTTTCATTATGACCACCCACAGTTTTCCTTATAGTTGAAAATGTTATATATGTAATCAATAAAATGGACCTTTGAACGAACATAAATACTACATCTGGTTGCAATAATAAGCGACACATTCCGCCAGTCGATGTCTTCCTCACTCACGTACGAAATGAGTGGTAATGACCTTCATTAAAATGTTGAATAGTAGACGATAATTATGATTATTATTATGAGCGAACTTTAATTAGCGTAGAAGTTAACGTGATATTGTATGAAATAAATGTAGGTATTAGGAATGAACATGGACTAACACACTGACTTTTTCGTGTGAGACAATTATGGTTTTTGCACTGCATTATTTTTATACCTTCCGCCTTTTTTGCATTCTTTTTATACCCTCCGCCATACTATGGACTTTGTCATTCCGTTTGTAACTCCTCGAAATACTAATCTCAGACCCAACAAAGTATATATATTCTTGATCACCGTAAAATTCTAAGTCGATTTAGCAATGTCTGTCTGTCTGTCTATCTGTCCGTCTATCTGTCTGTCCGTCTGTCTGTTGTAATCACGCTATCTTTCGAATGAATTGAGATAGAAAGCTAGAATTTTGCAGACATATTTCTTTTTCCAGTAGGCAGGTTAAGTTCATAAATGGGCCATGTAGGTCCACGTTTGCAAATAGCTCCCATATAACGGTACCTCCGGATATTAGATATTATGATGATTTTAGCGACATTACTCACCGGAATTGTTTCAATCTTGGTACTTGAAATTAAAAATGGATACTACACCCTAAGACAGAAAATTGTCTGTGCAGGTCTACGTCTTCGTATAGGCCCCATATAACGGTACCTCCCTATATTCGGTATTTTGATGATTTTAGTGTCATTTTTCACCAGAATTGTTTTAAATCACGTATTTAGAGTTTGTTATGGAAACTACAGTCTGTGACAGAAAATTGTCTATGATGGTCCAGGTCTTCGCATAGGCCACATATATCAGTACCTCCCTATATTCGGTATTTTGACGATTTGAGGTACAAAACCCATCGAAATGGTTTGAGATGTGGTTTTGAAGTTCGTAATGGATGCTACAGCCTGTGACAGAAAATTGTCTATGGCGGTCCAGGTCTTGGTACAGCTCCGATATAACGGTACCTTCCTATATTCGATATTTTGATTATTTTCTCTTCATTATTCACCGCTTATTTCAAGTTTCGAGTTTGAATATGGTAACGGCTTATGACACACAACGCCTATGTAGGTCCACGTCGTATAGGCCCCAAAATAACGGCTATATTTTCTATTTTTAAAATTTTAACAGAAATTTTTAAGGATTTTATTTTTTGAAAATTTCCAAATTCGTTCCAAAGGGTGGAGGGTATGCTGAGTTCGGCCCGGCCGAACTTACTGCTTTTTAACTTTTTATATCTGTGAGCAAAAATTCATTTAGATTTCCATATGAATGAAGAGAGGAGGTAAAAAGTGAATGAAGTGCGGAGTTGCATTAATTGCTGTAGGAGACAATCTAATTCGTTTATAAAGAAAATACCGACTAAGGAAAAAAACCTATAGTTATGTGTTGAGAGCATGTGACTCTTTATAGGAGATAAGAAATAGACTGTATATAGACGAGCTAAGAAAGGGTGTAAATGTATAGGAGCATATCTTTCAGCCAAAGGGGTTGCAATTTAATATTTTACTATTTATTTTTGAATGGAAATAATTTGTTTGAAATGAACTATATTCACCATACATTAATATTAGGCAGCTTGTCTGTACAGACTGTACAAAATATCAAATTGCAAGCCCTTTGCCTGGAAAATGTGACCATGATCTCCAAACAACCATAGAACGGTCGTCATCAACATTTGAGAGTTTGAACTCTTTTAGTAAGTAGAATTTTTATACCCTACAACACTGTGTTGGGGGTATTATAAGTTTGATTGGGCCAAAAATTATGTAACACCTCGAAATATTGGTTTCCCACATAGGAACGTATATATGGATCTTCCTATCTCGCCGAGTCGATCTAGCTATGTATGTATGTCCGTCCGCCTGTCCATGTTAATTTGTAATCACGCTACAGATCGCAATTATAAACCGATCCTCACGAAATTGAAAGTGGAGGTGAGGTTATGGTCAGAATAGAACCCTATTGTTTTTGGAGATGATCGCATAATACTTAGGGGTTGAAACATGAAAATTTCCTGATTTTGCAGTTGCTCTTCAGGTCGCAATTAAGGACAAATCGACGCGGAAGTTTGCATGGGGCTAGAGCTTAGGGCTGGGCAGAAGCTTTCTATGGTCACCGGCTAATATTTAGAGGGTGAAATAGACCATAACATTTGTGTTAAAT